CCACCCAAACCCAGCTTCCCGCCCTATGACGTTGGACACTTCACTTCGTGGCGTGCGGACGACCGTGGCTACTACACTGGCGTGGGGTACACACCCACAGAACTTGGTCACTTATTCGGGGCGCGCGAAGAAAAAACGAATGTGTCCCGCATGGTATTATTTGACAGGGATGATGGCCCTGGCAGGTGCGCAACCGTTGTCGCAGAAGTTCGAAAAAAGTTGCTCGCAAAAGCCCGTTTGACAGAAATGTTTAAAAAGTGTTGGTTTTCCTACGAATCCGCAAGAGCGCGCGGGATGAGATTTTGACATTTTTTTGTTGAAAACCATTGGTTTTTTTGATGTTTTTATGTTAAAATCGTTCCGAACACTAAGCTTTTGGAAGGATTTCGTCTTGCGCGCGCGAATGTCCACTTTACCTTATTTTTTGCAAGGGATTCTTGAAATTTGATTATATTAGAACAAGAAATGTCATTTTATAGTGTTTTTTGCAAGGGAAAGCGGGGGGGAACAAAACAACCGGATCTTGATCACATCGAATTACCTGAGGCTTCCTCACGAAAATGATGAAAATGTAGCTGCGGCCTAGGCGCGGCAGGGGGGGCGTGCACCAGGGGCCCCAACAATAATTATTCTTTAGAAGAAATAATGTTCAACAACAACAACAACAACAACAACAACAACAACAACAACAATCATTTTACCCGAACGCTCAGTGTTCTCACCCAGTGCCAGGGTTTTCATGCGACCGAGACAATACCCCCACTTCAGTGGGGGGCAGTTCAAGCTCTACCAAATATCCAAACGACTCTTCGCGACCACCCAAACCCAGCTTCCCGCCCTATGACGTTGGGACACTTCACTTCGTGGCGTGCGGACGACCGTGGCTACTACACTGGCGTGGGGTACACACCCACAGAACTTGGTCACTTATTCGGGGCGCGCGTGTGCCCAGCATCCTGCAATTGTGACATACAATACATGACACAGACAGACAGAGAGAGAGACAGAGAGCAGACAGAGAGAGAGACAGAGAGAGCGGAGTTGGTCACATTTTTGGTGGCAAGTTCCTGAGATCGTCGTGTTTTTTGTTGGTCTTGCGCGCGCGAATGTCCACTTTACTTTTTTTTTTTGCAAGGGAGTATTGAAATTTGATTATGTTAGAACAAGAAAAAGTAGCTCGCGCGAGCTCATGTAACATAAATGTTGAAAAACCATTGGTTTTGTGGGAGTCGGACAGCGCGCGCGGGATGAAATTTGGACATTTTTTTTGAAAAACCATTGGGTTTTTGATGTTTTTATGTTGAAATCGTTACGAAACCTAAGGTTCTGGAAGGATTTCGTCTTGCGCGCGCGAATGTCCACTTTACCTTATTTTTTGCAAGGGATTATTGAAATTTGATTATGTTAGAACAAGAAAAAGTAGCTCGCGCGAGCTCATGTAACATAAATGTTGAAAAACCATTGGTTTTGTGGGATTCGGACAGCGCGCGCGGAAGGACATTTTGACAATTTTTCTTAAAAAACCATTGGGTTTTTGATGTTTTTATGTTAAAATCGCTACGAAACCTAAGGTTTTGGAAGGATTTCGTCTTGCGCGCACGAATGTCCACTTTACCTTATTTTTTGCAAGGGATTCTTGCAATTTGATCAAGTAAGAACAAGAATTTTCATTTTCTATTGTTTTTTGCAAGGGAAAACGAGCGTCAACAAAAAACCGGATCCGGAGCTCATCCACTTTTCTGAAGCTTTCGCGAAAAATGATGAAAATGTAGCTGCGGCCTAGGCGCGGCGCAGAGGTCGCGCAACCAGGGGTCCCAACATAATAATTCTTTAGAAAATAATGTTCAACAACAACAACAACACAACACAACAACACACAACAACAACAACATCACTTTACCCGAACGCTCAGTGTTCTCACCAGTGCCAGGGTTTTCATGCGACGCCAGCCAATACCCCCACTTTGTGGGGGGGCAGTGCAAGCTCTACCAAATATCCACACGACTCTTCGCCACCACCCACACCCAGCTTCCCGCCCTATGACGTTCGGACACTTCACTTCGTGGCCTGCGGACGACCGTGGCTACTACACTGGCGTGGAGTACACAGTAGCTCGCGCGAGCTCATGTAAAACATAAATGTTGGAAAACCATTGGTGGTTTTTTTTGGAATCGGACAGCGCGCGCGGGTAGAAATTTTGAAAAGTCGTGCAGGTGTTTTTCGAGGACCTACGGTGCGATTCGTGTGATTTTATGATGCGCGGTGCTAAAATTCTTAAGAAGCCCAATGGTTTTTGGAGATTTCGGCGTGCGCGCGCGAAGAAAAAACGAATGTGTCCCGCATGGTATTATTTGACAGGGATGATGGCCCTGGCAGGTGCGCAACCGTTGTCGCAGAAGTTCGAAAAAGTTGCTCGCAAAAGCCCGTTTGACAGAAATGTTTAAAAAGTGTTGGGTTTCCTACGAATCCGCAAGAGCGCGCGGGATGAGATTTTGACATTTTTTGTTGAAAAACCATTGGTTTTTTTGATGTTTTTATGTTAAAATCGCTCCGAACACTAAGCTTTTGGAAGGATTTCGTCTTGCGCGCGCGAATGTCCACTTTACCTTATTTTTTGAAAGGGATTCTTGAAATTTGATTATATTAGAACAAGAAATGTCATTTTATAGTGTTTTTTGCAAGGGAAAGCGGGGGGGAACAAAACAACCGGATCTTGATCACATCGAATTACCTGAGGCTTCCTCAGGAAAATGATGAAAATGTAGCTGCGGCCTAGGCGCGGCGGGGGGGGCGTGCACCAGGGGGCCCAACAATAATTATTCTTTAGAATTAATAATGTTCAACAACAACAACCACAACCACAACCACAACCACAACCACAACCACAACCACAACCACAACCACAACCACAACCACAACCACAACCACAACCACAACAACAACCTTGGCGAGGGTGGTGCCGGGCAAACGTGGGTCCGCGTGACACCAGCCTGGTCGTTGTCACTCGGTTCGAACCAGTCGAAGGGCAGGGGGAGGGGGGATGGAGGGAAAGGAAGGGAGGAGTGAAGGGGGAGGGGGAGGGAGGGAAGGGAGGGAGGGAAGGGAGGAGGGGGGAGGGGAGGAAGGGGGAGGGGAGGGAGGAAGGGGAGGGAGGGAAGGGATGGGGGAGGAAAGGGGGAGGGGCAGCGGCAGGGCGCCGCAGCCGCTGGCGTGGCGCGGGGCCACCCTGCGGAAGCGATGCCGGGGGCCCGGCAGGCCGGCCCCGGCACCGGACCTTCCAGGAGGGCGGCCCGGACGGTCGGGGATGGCATGCTGCGCTGCCGCCCCGGCGATGCGAGGGCGGCGGCACCGTCCGAGCCCGGGCGGCCCCTGAGACGCCTCCAACACGGCCCCTGGACGGCGGCGCGGGGCACGGAGCCCGAGACGGGCTCCCAGACGCCCGAAAAAGACTCCCGAGGGGTCTCCTCCTCCTCCTGCTCCTCCTCCTCCTCCTCGTCTTGCTCGTCGTCGTCCTCCTCCTCCTCCTCCTTGTGTTCCTCGGTCTCCTCCTCCTCCTCCTCCTCCTCCTCCTCCTCCTCCTCGTTTTCCTCCTCCTCCTCCTCCTCCTCCTCCTCCTCCTCCTCCCTCCTCCTCCTCCTTGTTTCCTCGGTCTTCTTTCCCTCCTCCTCCTCTCCTCCTCCTCCTCCTCCTCCTCCTCCTCCTCCTGCTCCTCCTCCCCTCCTCCTCCTCCTCCGTCTCCTGATTCCCCCCACCTTCTGCGAAAGCACATAGGTAGGTAGTTTGGCCTAGCTGTGTATCCGCTTCCTGGGAACCTCGTGGGGCTCCAGGGGAACACTCTTCGGGGCGTGTGATCCCAACCTTCCCGAACAAATTTGGCTGTCACCTTCATCACGGGGTCTTCTTCCAGGGTCGGCGGCACCGGCTGGCAAGGCCTTCACGATCGGTCCCTGGGCCCATCGGGGATCCGGACGCACCAATTTTCCGAGCTGTGTCCAGCCGTGGCGACACAGGGCCTCCCCGAAGGCCAACCACCGCTGTCTCAATACGCCCCCCGCTGACAGGAGCCGGCGAAGACGTCCGAAAGCGTGCAGCCGAAAGAGGCCTCGGCTGGCGCACGGCCGCGCCCTCGCCCTCAGCGGCGTGTCTCGCAGGCCGCTCGCTCGCTCGTTGGAGCTTCAAAGGTGGAGCCCGCACCCGGAAAAGCAGGGATACGATATCATGCCATGAGTTCGCGACTTGGGGAGCCGTCGAGGCCAGGCCGCCAAACGGCCCCCACGATGCTCCCCGGGAAATCCTCAACCGCCCTGCCAGGGAGACGCGGCCCTCGCAGCCGCGAGAACTCGCCGGGCGCGGGCCCCGATACCACCACCCAGTGAGCCTCTTGCCACAAGGCCTCAGCGAAAAGAGGGCTACGAATCCTACCGCCTGCTCCTCCTCCTCCTCCTCCTCCTCCTCCTCCTCCTCCTCCTGCTCCTCCTCCTCCTGCTCCTCCTGCTCCTCCTCCTCCTCCTCCTCCTCCTCCTCCTCCTCCTCCTCCTCCTCCTCCAGTGCTCCCACTGCTCCCTTCTCCTTCCCTCCCTCCTCCTCCTCCTCCTCCTCCTCCTCCTCCTCCTCCTCCTCCTCTCCTCCTCCTCCTCCTCCTCCTCCTCCTCCTCCTCCTCTCCTCCTCCTCCTCCTCCTCCTCAAAAAAAAAAAAAACTCCTCCTCGCTCCCTCCTCCTCCTCCTCCTCCTCCTCCTTCCTCATCCTCCTCCTCCTCCCCTCCTCCCTCCTCCTCCTCCTCCGCCTCCTCCTCCTCCTACCTTCCTCCTCCTCCTCCTCCTCTCCTCCTCCTCCTCCTCCTCCTCCTCCTCCTCCTCCTCCTCCTCCTCCTCCTCCTCCTCCTCCTCCTCCTCCTCCTCCTCCTCCTCCCTCTCTCCTCCTCCTCCTCCTCCTCCTCCTCCTCCTCCTCCTCCTCCTCCCTCCTCCTCCTCTTCCTCCTCCTCCTCGGGGGGACCCCTCCTGTCGGTCCGCCCGCAACGCCGCCAGCTCTGCGACGAACTCGTGCTCGTCCAGGATGGCCATGCGCCTCGCGTGCGCGTCAGCTGGAATACCCGGCGGGGGGGAGTACAGTCGAACCTAGGACAGAGGAACATCCCTTAAGTACATTAGACCCTGCGCCAGCCAAAACACGCAGAACATCCAAGAATGTCCTCCCCACGATGTACAAGAATACCCAACAAACACGAAGAACACTACGGCACCCTCTCCGAACCGACCTCGATCTTATACCTCGGTGCGACTGTAGAGGAGGTTGAAGGAGGAGAGTACGGGGAAAATGGGCCGGAAGGGGGGGCGGCGGGGGAAAGAGCGGAGGGGCAAGAGGGGGATGAGGAAGGGGAAGATGAGGAGGAAATTGGCTCCTCGACTTGGGCCCCAGGGCGAAGGAGCAATATATATATATATATATATATATATATATATACACACACACCCAACATCCTGAAATACAATTATTACAATACGCAGTTCTAAGAGAGGCAATCGGGGGCCTGTGCAAATCTTTAATATGCTTATCCTTCTTTGGATGTCTTCGAGTTAGAGGTGCGGAGCATGGAACTCGGCCTCAACCGAATACGTCGCCGTAGAATACGTAGCTTTCAACGGAGGTGTCCTCGACCAGAGTGCTGTGGAGATATCGCTGTCGTCCTTGATGGTCACGTAGTCGTAGTAAGTGCGGTTCTCCTCGCAGGTCATGTCGCAACCGTCCTCCTCACCTTCAGCATACCATTGGTCACTGTGGATATCCACAATTATTTCTCGTGTATCGTGCTCACTACAATCTGGCTTGATCACGTTGCCCTTTTACCCGCATACGCCATCCGTCTTGGGGTATTAGTTTAGTCTCCACTCCCCAGTCGCACGTACCTTATGCAATCGTGAAAATACGCAAAGATTTAACATCCCACCTGATAGCAAGCCTCGCAATAGGTGCAGGAGTGACGCGACGAAAACGTCTTGTCGCGACGTCCCCGTAGAGAGACATGATCGAGATCCTTTGGGTCTTATCTATGGTTAGCCCTCGTCAACCCACCACAGTTTCAAACAAAGTCATACTCCCGGTAATGCCGCGGCAGGGTATCACAAACCTGCCTTTTCTGATACATGTTCAATAGCTGTCGAGGCTTCGCAGGACTCCCAGGAATCGCCTGACTGAATAACTCGGTCATCCGCAATGGTACCAGCCGCGCCACTCGAAGACCACCGACACATGCAGTCGCTTCACCATAAAGAGCGCGGTGACTCGTTCAGGCAGCCGTCCGCGCGGTGAAGTAGTACCAATGTCAATGTCCTCCGGATTCGCGTGCAAAAAAAACGTCCCAACTTGCATGATAGTCGTCGTAGTTCGTCGCTGGTTCACGATCTTGCCCTCGTAAGGATACCCGTCAGTCGGAAGAAGTGGGTAGAAACATGAAGTAGGAAGGCGTTGGAAGTAGATTGGGTTTCCGCCCGCCACCCTTGAAGTGGAGGGAAGAAGGAACAGCACTCGACTCTTGAAGTTTGAAGGCGGCTAAAGTAGATTGGGATCTGGGGAACAAGGAATTTCTACTGTCAACGACCGACGGGTATTTCGCTTGGTTGCAAGCCTGGCGTCCGCAATAGAAACCAGAAGAAGAGGCACGAACCACGTTCTGGCCTTCATTATTCGCGCCAAGAGCTTGCCGCGAGCTGGTTGCACTGCTTCCGGTGTGTGGTAGCAGGCTCGGTCACCTCTGCTGGCACAGCCACAGCTCCATGACGCAAGTCCACTCGAGCTGAGCATGCCTACACCAGGCCGCACAGCAGTGAGCGAAAACTGTGTTTCTTTATCGAATACTTGATTGTCATGCTTCGCGCGTCTTGGATCCAAAGTCAACGCGGGCTTGAGCTTCCAAAGACAGCGTTCTTGATCCAGTAGTACGTGTCTAGGGGCAAGGAGCTGATGCCGAACTCCGACATAAACCATGGGAACAGTGCGACGCTTGAGATTCCAAACCACGCGGACAATTTGGGGCGAACGGCGTCCAAGAACTTCACTGAGGCTATTGTCAGAGTTTGTCGTCTACGCGGGTGGTCCCTATGTGTACAAATGCTTACACTAGGACCATCACGCGCGCTACGCGCGCGCTCAGGTTCTAATCGACGGCGGAGGCAAGACAAGAGACACGAGACATGGGAGAGAAAAGGGATACCCTCGAGAAGGGAAAATCATAACGTGGCCGAGCAATCACAGTGTAGCCACAGCCGTCGTCGTCGCCGTCTTGGTCCTCATCGTTTTTGGACGCGATTGCAAGTCCAGGGCGGGACGGGCTCTTCTACGACCTCTGGTAGCTTTCTGGAGGCGTCGAGAAGCTCGCGGAGACTTTCTCTGGAGACCTTTGGAGGCCATGGAGGTCGTCGTCGTCGTCGTGGTCGACGTCGTCATCAGACCTCGGGAGACCGTCGGAGGTCGTGGTCGGTGTCGTGGTCGTCGTGGTCGTCGTGATCGTCGTCGTCGTCGTGGTCGTCGTCGTCGCCGTCACCGTCGTCGTCGCTCTCCTCGTCGTCGTCGTCGCCGTCGGCGTCGTCGTCGTCATCGTCGTCCTCGTCCTCGTCGCCGTCATCGCCTGTTTCAGAAACGTTTGCGCAGGCGTCGGCAGTGGTTGGCCCTCTTGTGGCCCCCCCGCAAGCTCGCGGGGACCATCGCAGACCTGCGGAGGCGCGGAGGCCCCCCGGAAGCCACCCAAAAGTTGCTCCGCGCATGTTCTCACATGTGGTTGCCTCGGGGTGCACACGTCGGCGTACCCCCCTCTCGGGTTCGCCGACAGGCGCACCCCTGGGCGCTCGAGATGTCGGCGTTGGGGTTTCTCTTCGGCCCCCCTTGGGTTTTTTTGGGGGGGGGCCTTCCGATATTGGGGAACCGCTTGCGAGTATTGGGAACCTCTTGGGGGAGCCAAGCCTCTGGTGCAGTCTTTGATCGATGCTCAGAGCCTCCTGGATCGCCTCGGCAAGTCCGAAGGCGACAAGGAGAAAACACTGAAATTTGAAGGAAAACACATCCGTGTTGCCTCTCGGGCGCCTCTTGTCCAGGAGCGCCTCGAGGCGTCACGGGGAGTCCTAACACTGTGTTGAAGCCACCTTGAGTGGTACTGGAACGATCCGCGGCCGTGACGGAGCCCTCTGGAACCCTCAGGACAATAGCTTCAGGTCTGGCGTGTCCCCTCAGAGGCGGGTTTGGGACGAGGGGGGAACAAAAAAACAACCAATCGTTCAAAATTAATCGTCAACTGTCAAGAAATAGCCCCCTGGCTGTTTTGGTACTACGTTTGAATTTTCCTCCTGTGGAAGGACACGCCCGACCTAACAATAATTCCTGAACGCCCCGAGAGGGCCCTGGTTCCCGCATGGGGGCTCGAGGCTGCTGGGCCGGGGCCTCGGACGCCGTCATTTGAGGCTCTCTTGGGCCTCAGTGAAGCTCTGCACGGGCCTCTTGGGCCAACGGACCAAACGTAGCCTCAGGTCGGGCATGTCCCCCGTACAAGCGGAATTTGAACGAAAATTGAAGAATGGTCAAAAAAACAAATTTAAAATATACATCAAAAATTCCATACGATTCCCCGTCAATGTTTGAAGATTCCTCCTGTTGACGGACACGCCCGACTTAAACGTAGCCGCGCCCTGACGGCGCACTGGAAAAATATTGAACAGACTGATCACATGCGTGCCGGCCTACAGAGAAAAACGGAAAGTTGCACAGTGTTTCGGGGGACCGTCGCTGCAGCCTTTGTTTACAACGAAGCACGAGGAGTAAGTGCGCAGTTCGCGAGAGAGGGAGGGGAGGCGGGGAGGGAGAAGGACTGGCAGGGGCGGGGCAATCAAGAAAACAACATTGCTACTTTGCACAATGTTGAGCTATAGCCTCACGCCACTCTGAAGGATTTTGCAGCAGCGTCTGCAATGTGCCTGGGTCATCGTGCGCCACAGACAAAGCCTCAGCGCGCAGATAGTTTGCCCATTGCTCGACGAGGCATCCCTCTCGACAAAGACACTTTCCACTTCCGAAGCAAGACGCGATTCATGAGACCACTTTCGAAAACCATGGCTATTGGAAAGCTGGTGGTGTTCTTCTGGCCGAGACTGCCATACAGTTTGGGCTGTCGTTCCAGTAGGACTGCGGTTAACGGCCAGGCTTCTGCACGCTCTCGAACTCCAGCGTTGCTCACGCGAGAAACGCAAGAAGGGCATATTTGGAAAATTTGGCGTAAGCGCTTCGCTTGGAAACCGTCGAGTTGGTTCTAGTACGCCTGTAGAAGCAAGCGTACATGATTCCACTCCGTACGGAAGCTTCGAGAATACACATGCTTCCAGGACTCGTTGCTTGTGGAATTTGTTCAGGTTTGCGTGGTTCCAGCTATTGGGGCAATATTGGGCCGCCCTGGGGCAATATAGGGGGCCTCTTGGGCGTCGAAACCCCGAAATGGCGAGACGCCCGAATCTGTCAAAAACCAAAGGATGTTCGATTCGGCATCTTGGGGCCCACTTAGGGTATCTTGGGGGCCCCTTAGGCCGTCTCTCAGCATCGCTGGCGCGCTGGAAGCGCTCTTGGACCGTCTTGGACCCTCTGGGGCGTCTCTGGGGATGTCGTGGGGGATGTCTTAGGCTGTCTTGATGCGTCGTGCGGGAATTATGAAAACCCTGTGACTCCCATGCGACGTCCGCCCTGGGACCCTGGGGCCGTGTCGATATATGTAAACACAAATGTACATATGTAAACCAGAGTAAATGCATACACACAAACCACTGTATACGTATACTACACGTACTTACGTATCTACACATAGACATATACATATACATGTATAGCTACTGCTATGTATATGCCAATGCACAGACACAGGTGCATGTACATGTATATGCACATGGGTGTGTAAACGTATGTGCATGTATAAACGTTTGCAAATGAATATGAACATGAGGATGTGCGTGTACACGTATGCGTGCACATTGATGTGTATGATTATAGGTAAGTGTGCGTATATACAACTGTAACTGTAGATGGATCCAAACATG